AGGAGCTGAGATGGTTAGGGTGCCCGGCCAGGAAGCCGGGGCGACGGTGGAAGCGGGAGGAGACTCTCGAGCACAGGTTCTTGGGGTCCATGGAGCAGCGGGTGCACATGGGATGGCCGCCTGCACAGCTGGGATGCTTGTCTGCGGGCACAGTGGGGAGGGGGCAAGGCCAGGGCTCCTGAGGGGCTGAGAGAGGGGACGGGCCCACATTCCTTGAGGCCCTGCTGGGGTCCACTCACCTTTGGGGAAAAAATGATGGAAAAGGATCCGCAGGGAGCTCTTCAGATGCCTCCAGAGCTGAGGGGAGCAGGGGAGGGGGGAGCCCGGACGTGCAGTGAGCCCTGCTGCCCAGCCCGTGCTCAGCCCCATCCCGGCAGCCCACCCACCTTGGCCCCTTCCCACCGTGAGGCTCCCCCAACCCTCTTGCCCCCGCCCTGACCAGAGTCACCACGTTGATCCCCACGTTGAGCAAAATGACACTGCCCAGAATCAGAAGGATAGAGTCTCCGAGGTCCTGGCACTTCCTGGGGTTGGTGCCAGAGCACACTTGAGCTCCGTGGTGGGCTCGCTCACCCATGGCCGGGGGTCCCAGGACTACCTGGGCCCCCCCCCCGTGGCCCCCACATACTCACTAGGAGCCAGACTCCTCTCGTGGGGGAGGGGGCGAGGGACTGGGTCACAATGGGGCAGGTGTTGGGTCACAATGAGGGAGGGGAGGAAATGGAGAGCCTAGGACAGCCTGCTCTGATACCAGGTTCTCCTCACCTGAGCCCCCAAAGTCCAGTGGGACTGGAAGCCAGCGCCCTGCCCTGGGGCCCTCATTCCTCCTCTGTTCCCTCACTGCCCTACTTCGATCCCTCGAACACTCCCGAGGCTGGGAAGACCTTGGCCTCAGAGCCTTGGCCTTCTCCCTGCCCTCCATGGGGCAGTGGCCCTGGATCTGAGCGGAGGTAGGACGCACCGGCTTGGAATCTGACCTTCACTGTGTCGTGTGGGGCTGAGCCGCGGAGCCCACTTACGGACCGGGGAGGGCAGCCGCCCAGAGCTGCTCAGACATGGGTGGTGGCGGTCTCCCGGTCTCCCGGCTGCAAGAGCCTCGTAGGGCATGGGGTGGGACCAGGGTCCTGCCAGGGGGGACGGAGGCCACAGCCACGGGGACGCAGGCTGACAGGAGGAGGGGCCCTTCCCAAACGCAGAACACACCACAGTGCTTCCCGAACTCTGTTGTTCTTTATTCCTGCCTCTCCATGCGCCCCCAGGCCCCAGTGTCGCCGCAGGTCAGTGAAGCTTCCCGGTCCGGCTCCTGTGCAGCGACGGCCTCGAGGCCGAGGCGGAGGGTGGGGGCAGCGAGTTGGCCCGCGCTCGGCTCTCCTGCACCTGCCGCTTTAGCTCCAGGCTGTCGTAGACCTGGCAGCTGGCAGTGCCCCCCGGGTTCCTGCTGAGCGGCAGGAAGGTGGGCTGGGGCTGGGGGGGCTCGGGGACCTGGGCTTCGGGCAGGGGCTGGGAGGAATGGGGGAGCAGGGCCGAGCAGGGGGCCGGGGCCCGTTGGTAGGTGGTCTCGCCCAGCATGGTGAGGGAGGTGGAGGTCGTCAGAGGGTGCCAAGCTGGCAGTGCCTCAGCCCACTCGGCCGCCCGGCGCCGGACTTCGTGCGGCTCGCGGGCGTTGTAGCTCAGGTGGCCCGTGGATGGGTGCGGGCTGCGGCTGGGCTGGCTGTAAGCGTGGCCGGGGACGCTCCGCCGGTGCGCCTGGGGGGAGCAGTGCTCGCGGGCCTCGGGCCGGGAGCCCCGGGGCACCAGGGCGGGCGGGGGCTCGGAGCCCTCCAGACCCCGCCGCCGATGGTCCCAGGAGTCATAGAGGAGCTGGCCGCTTGAGGGGTAAGGGCTGAACCCCGCGGGGACCCAGGAGGGATTGGGGGGCAGCCGGCGGAGGGGTGGTGGAGGCGAGGCCCACTGCTCTACCTCCATGCTGCCCCAGACTCGGGACTGGGAGCAGTGGGGCCCGCAGGACTGCAGCCGCAGCTCCGATTTGGCCTCTACGCGCTTGGGCATGCGGCGCAGCTCGGGCGAGAGGTAGAGGGAGGGTGGGGGCAGACTGGCCAGGATCCCGCCCCGGCGGCCCCAGAGTCCCACGTTGGAGGGCAGGCCCCTCTGCGGGTAAAGCCCTCCCCAGCCGCCCCGTGGGTACTTGGGGTGTGGGAAGGCCAGGTCCTCCTCCTCCAGGTAGGAGTCCAGGTCCCCCCCGAAGGAGGGCACCACCTGCAGCTGGGACATCTTGCGGCCTTGACGGTGGCTGCGGAAGGCTGAGCGGTTGTGGCAGAAAAGCTTCCGGTTCTTTGGCCCCCACTGGTGGCTGCAGGAGTCGTGGTGGTGGTGGTGGTGGCTGTGGCGGTGGCCGTGGCCGTGGTGTTGGCGGGGGCCACGGCTGCGGGGGCGGCGGCGGCAGGGGCGGCGGCAGCGGCAGGAGCGGGAGCTGCGGAGATGGTGGTAGGAGGAGGATGGGTAGCACGCCGGCTGGGCCAGCTTCACTTCCATGGGCTCCAGGGTGCAGTGGACGTGGACGTCTTGGGGCTTGGCAGGGGGATCCTTGGTGGGACTTTCACAAGGCTGGGAGGTTTCATCTGGGGGTGACAAGAGTCCGTGAGGTCGGGACGACTGTCAAAAGAGCTCAGGGTTGGGAACAGGACGGTATGGGTTTCTCGGGTTGTGCTGGTGACGTTGGGGTGGGAGGAAGGGGGCCGTGTCCCTGACCTCTCTTGCCGCCATACTTACTTTTCTGATTAATCCGAGAGGTCATCTTGTCTAAGGCATTCTGGAGCCCATGCCACATCTGGGGGGGGGGCGCGGGAGTGAGGACCGGCCGGCTCTCTACCCGCCCCCCCGCCCCCGCCACCCTCCTACCTGGCTCCCAGCCAAGAGCACACTCCTGCAGGTGCAGGCGCGCCCCCCCACCCTCTTTGCCTGTGGGGGCGGCCTGCCGCCAGCACTGACCATGGTCACCACGTTGATTGCAATGTTCACCAGGATGATGAGGCCCACCAGCAGCAGCAGCACATCTTCGGGATCCTGCGAATGTTCCTGATACTGATTACAGCACCCCACGTTGTCATACCAGAGCTGGTTTTCCATGGCGGGGGGGCCCTAGGGCCACCTGGGCCACCGCCCCCCCCCCAAGCCCCGACCACACTGTACTCATGCCGGGACCTGGGGACAGCTACCAGCTGGTGAGGGGTCTGGGTCATAATGAGGGACATTGTGGGGAGTCACAATGCAGAGGTGGCCATTCTTATCCACTCAGCTCGCCCTTAGATGGCCATGGCCGCCCTTGGCTGCCACTTGATGGGGCCCCCGTCCCCGGATATCCCAGAGTTCAGTCTGTCTCTGTCTCCCACAGGGGCCTGCTTAAGTCGCCACCGGATTCGTGAGTTGAAAATAGGGTCGCTAAATTTGTAAGACGGTTTTCACAGGGCTTGAACGGTCCATAAAGAATTTCCTCCAAGTCGTCGTTCTCATGAGACATCAAGGCGGCTTGTGGAGTTGGTCCCCTCGACCCATGCCTACTTGGGGCCAGCAGCTAGGGTGACAGCAAGAGTCCCCTCCGGGGTCACCCCACTGTGCCGTTCCCTCCCCGTCCTTCCTGTTTCCCTGCGATGATTCCTCTAGCACCTACCTTCCCCCACCCCCCCGGCCAAGGATTGCAGGCGACACGGTGTGGTCACCAAGCCCACTGGCCCCCTCGCTTCAGAGCAAGACTGACTTCCCACTCGCCCCAGTTGCTTTCATCTGCCGGGGACCACCCCCGACCGTGCTCTTTCTCCTTCCTAACCAACTGCCCTCCCACTGACCTAGCCCTCCCAGCCAGAGAACTGTTAGATGCCCCTTAAGAAAACCTCCTGAAATTCACAAAGCACAAACATGTCATTGTTGACAAAGGAGATTGTTCAGAAGCAGGTTCATCACTGGGGCCCCTGGAAGTGGCGCCCGGGGGCCCTTGAGTCATTTGTTTGCACGATGGGTGAACAACTCGATGGAAATAAGGCAACACCCAGTGGGCGTTCCCCTTCGAGCCCCTAAACACATAGTGGGTGCTCGATACTCACTGAACGGAATCAAAGTGATCAATGACGTTGGCTGAAAGCTAACAGAGCAACAGGCCGGTTCACAGAAGGCCTGTCTGTCCACATTCCGCGCACGCATCTGCTACGGAAGGTGGGGTCCGCGGCCTTCAGCCGGGGTGCACTCACGTGGCTTTAGTTCCCAGGCGCACGGGTGGCCGCGGGCATGTCCGCATGTCTGTGCATGCGTGTGCGTGTGTGTGTGCGACACGGGCCATCTAGGAGCAGGGCAGGGCCTGCGTTTCCCTGCTGTGTGTGGTTGGGATGCTCTGACGAGTTCCCATGGTCACTTTTCCTCCCTGAGCCTCGGTCTCCTCATCGGTGACAGGCAGGTGCTAACCGCAGCAGTGAGGTCTCAGAGGGCAGCCCTCGAGAATGTCCCCCGTGTGTGGTCCTCGGCTCCAAGCCTGCTCGCGGCTACAGGAGCTTCCGGTCCTGACTGGGGCGTGGGGAGGCCTGGACGCCCTCCCTCCCAGCAGCCCCGCTCAATGAAACCAGGGCTTGGGCGGGGGTGGCACACATCACACCTGGGGGCTGCAGCCCAGCCTTGGGCTCCGGCCGAAACCAGGCGGCTGAGGGGCTAGGGCCACAGGGATGGGTTCTCCCTAGTGCAGGTCAGCTTAAGGATCTGGGCCGGGACCTAGGGGGGCTGCTCTGGGCATGAAAGAAAACAGGGGAGCGGCAGGTGGGAACCTGCCTCATCAGGGGCTAGGAGAGAGCTGCGGGCAGGGCCCAGGGAAGCCAGGAGGTTGACAAGGGTCCTTGGGGCTCCTGAGGCCCCTGTGGCCAGGGAGACCCTTCTCTGAGTCACTGGGACCTCTGTGGGGGCCCTGGCTTCCCCAACACCACCGCGGACCACCTCCTCTTTTCCTTTTATTTTCGTCCCAGTCACCTCTCTATCACAGAACGGTACACCCAGCCCTTGTTTGTCCCCTCGACGGCGTTGCTGGACGGGGAGCCCAGGGGGTAACAGTGGGACAGGGCCTCCACCTCGCGGGTCAGCTCCCGGAGCCGCCGCCGCACGTCTCGGGCGTCATATACTACGCGGCCCGAGGAGCGGCGCCGGGGGATGTCGGGGACGTGGGCAGGGCCCAGGACCGGCGGGGCCGCAGGGGCGGGGGCGCAGGGCTCGGGCTCAGCCTGGGCCCCCGGCCCCACCCCGCTGTTCCTGTGGCTCAGGGCCTGCGGGCTGGGGGGCGGGGGGTTCACCGGGTACACGTAGGCCTCGAGGCCTAGCTCTGAGCGCATCTCTGCTTTGAGGGGCCCGCCTTCCACGGCCTGCTGGAAGCGAATGGTCTGGGGAGGGGGCTCCGCGGCGTCCTGGGGCCAGGGAGCCCAGAACCCCTGCGTGGACTGAAGGCCCTGCCAGTCTACGGGCTGATCCCAGTGGTGGGAGCAGACTGCTGGGTGCTGGTGTGGGGGCTTTTCCTCGTCGTCCGTGTCGGGGACCCAGGCTGCTGGGCGGTGGGCACGGCGGCCTGAACGGCGGTGGCGGTGACGGCGACTGGGCGGGGGGGTCACAGTCATTTTCACAGGGTCCATGGTACATCGGAGGTGGACTGCAGGGGCACTCTGCTTCGGAGGCTGGGGCGGCTTCCCCGGGGAGGATGGCTTAGAAGCTTCTGTAGATCAAGGAGAGGCCGGAGGCTGGTGGGGAGGCTGGCGGGTACGCAGGAGCAGGGGGGAGGCTGCACCGCTGAGAGGGGAGAGCGGGAGGGGAAGGGTCTGCTCTGGCTCAGGGCTGGCTTGCCAGGTTCCTGCCTCTCCTGTGCCCCCCGCCCCCAACGCCCGGCCCCCCCGCTTACCTTTCTCATAAACAATGTGGAACACTTGGTGTAAGAAGCCACGGAGTCTGCGCCAGAGCTGGGTGAGGGAGGACACAATGACCCCGGGCTGGCCCTGGCCACCAGGCCTCCCGCCGCCGCCGTCCAGCCAGCGCCCACCCGCCTGACCCCACCCTGACCAGCGTCACCATGTTGATGCTAATATTAATGCAGATGACGAGACCCAGTAGCAACAGGATGGAGTTGCCCAGGTCCTGACAGTTGTTGCTGTTGGAGCTGTGATACGATGCCCACCCGGGCCGTGGCCGCTCAGCCATGGCCATGGGGGTCCCTAGGGCCACCGGGGCCCCTAGGCCCCCAGCCCACTGTGCCCACAGTATCCACCAGCCTGCCTGCCTGCCCCAGGGGCTCCTGGGGGCAAGCGGGTCACAATGATGCCGGGGCACTCCCTCACAATGTGCCAAGAGGCAGAGTCTTGGGCTCGTGGGTGGCCCTCCAGCCTGGGCCCAGGCCTTGGCAGAGGCCGAACCCTTCACCTGGCATGCCTGTCGCCTGGACCAGCCTGTGCGCCCTCTGGCCTGTCGGGGGTCTGCCCCCACGAGCGCAGACTCTTCCTTCTCTATACCAGCCTCAGGCCTCTGCACACACCTGAGCCCCGATCAGAACTCCCCACACAACCCCACTACCATGGCAACCGTACCCCAGCACCCACTCCCCCCTTTCTGCACTCTGAACTGCTCCCCGAAATGGGCTGTGGGCTCAGACCACCTCCCTCTCCCTCACCGGCCGAGTGGAAGACCTGAGGCTTAGTTCCTCGAAGCGCCCCCCCGCCCCACCACAGCAGGCACAACCAACAGTTAAATTTTTATATTTACAATATTCTCTTCATCTTTTGCCAGGTTTAAAAATGTGTACAGAGCCGCGAAGGGTTGGGGCAGGGATGTGGGATTGTCTGGGGGTTGTTCTGGGGAGAGGGGCTGGGCATTGGAGTCCGTGGCTGAATCATGGGGTCCCCCAGCCCCCCTCCCATGCCCCAGTTTGGGGGGGGGCTTCTGTCTACAAGGTTCAGGGCCCAGGTCCCTAGCATTTAGAGGGCATGGCCATTTGGAGAGGAGCTAGACCAGGCAAGAGGAGGGGTCAGAAAAGAACTAAGTTTCCATGGGGGGAGGTGGGAGAAGGGACAGGAGGCAGAGTTCTGGGGAGCCAAGACCAGGGATTCTGGATTTGGGTGTCAATGGAAGACAGCCCCCCCCCCCCTATTCAAGTTTGGCACTAATGAACCCGCCCCCAGCAGACAAGGACTTTCCTCCACTGGTGTCCCTTAAAACCCTACCTGACACCATTCTTCTCCCCAGAGGCCCAAACCCTTTCTCCCCAGGCGATTCCTCTCTGGGGTGGTCACCGCACACGACCTTTCAGATTCGCCCTGCTGCTATCTGCCCAAGCCCCGTCCCACCGCCCCCTCCATCTGTTCTCAGTACTGCTGACCTCATTCTCTCCCCAGCCTGTCCCGTGAAGCCTTTCCCCCTGTGCCCTCTTTCCGTGGCTCCTTTCCTTCAGCCCTGGCTGAGGGAAAGGGGGCCTCGTCAAAGAAGGGGGTGGGTGGCTAAGGGGAAAAGGTGTTCTGACACTGACTGGAAGGCTTCAAGGAGGGAGACACAGAAGAGAGGAGGGACACTGAGGCAGAGAGGGAGGGATGAGACACAGGGAAGGGAGGAGAGACACAGGCAGGACCCCTTTCGCTGCCACTTCCGTCCCCCATATCCCATTTGTCCCCATATTTACCTGCCCTGGCCCAGGCCTGGGGGATCCTTGGAACATTTTGGGGGTCTCCCCCTCAAAACCCACCTAATCCAGTTTGGCACGGATGAGCAGTGGTCTGAGAACTGAGGGAAAGGCTGTTCTCAGACCCCAGTGAGGGCTTTGGTCAAACATGCATGGCCTCCGTGGGTGGCATGCCACGCCCCCCGGACTTGGCAGCTTTTGGGTGGGGGAGACCAGCCGTGGTCTGCCCCCAGGATTTGTACCCTCCCCCCTCCACTTCCGTCAGTCTGAAGTCTGTTCCCACCTACTGGGTGGGGAGGAGCTAAGTGCTAGGCCTCAGGTCTGGGGGACCGTGGGGGGGGGGGAAGCTGGCGGGAAAGGGGCCGTCTGCATGGGAAAACACACATCCACATGCAAGAACATGTTTCCACTCAGAGAGATGCGTCCTGAACCCGTGGGAAAACAAGTTCCCAGGCAGCCCAGGGATGCACGGATCTCCTCCCTTCCCCCCGCAGGGAATCCCACCCAGAGCACCGGCTTCATCTGACATCGGCCACGGGGGGATAAACATGCTTCGCTAGGGCGGGTGGGGGGGGCACGCAGTGGGAGTGCGGGGGGACGACTTGATTTCCTCGGTTCCTTCCCAAGGGTCACTGTCCGGGAACACACCACTTCCAGGGTCTCCACAGGGTAGGGAGGTGGGGGGGGGGGGCAGTAGGGAATGGGATTCTGGGGTACAAATCCCCGCAGGAATTCTTTTGAGGGGGCCAACATGTGTCCAGGGTGGCAAAAAAAAAACACCTCACCCTGCACATGGGAAAACACACCCCCTCGTGAGAAAGCACGCCTCCACGTGGGAAAACACGTCCACGTTTCCACACACCCAAGACTGGTGTCCCAATGGAGGGGCCGGAACTCCCCCCAGCTGTTCCGAGGCCCCGGTCCAGAGAAGAGGACGGGCCTCTTGGCATGGGAAAGACACGCATCCTGGTGCAGAAACCCATGTCCACCTGGCGCTTCCACCGCGGGGCATCTCCGGCGCGCGAGAAGCCTGTGGCCAGTCCTCCTCCCTGCCTTCTGGGCCGCACTGCCCCCCGACGGCGGCGGCCATGGCCACGGCCACGGCGATGGCGGCAGCAGCGGCGGCGGGGAGGGCTGGGGAGGGGGGCCTCCCCCGCCAGCTTCCCCCTATACCCGAGTGGTGGAGTGGGGGTGCGGTAGCGTGTTGTTGTGGCTGGTAGCGGTGGGGGGCGGCGGGGGGAAGGGCCCGAAGGGGTGCAGGGAGGGAGGCGGTGGGGGCGGCGGGGGCCCCAGGCCGCTGGGCAGCAGGGTCAGGGCCCCGGGGGCCAGCAGAGGTACGTCGTCCGGGGCCCGTCGCAGGGCCAGGGTGTAGTCGGGCGGGCAGGCGGGGCGCAGGGCCTCGGCGGGGTCCGCCCCGACGCCCCCGGCCCGCTTCAGCTGCAGGGACACCAGCTCCTCCTCGGGCGGCAGCTCGCGGCCGGCGGCGGGGAGCAGGGGGCCCCCGCCCGGCACCCCGGAGCCTGAGCCGCCGGGGGGGCTGAGCCGCCGGCACCGCAGCTCCTGCCGCCGGTCCCGCTTGTAGTAGAGCGCGGCGAAGGCCAGGATGTTGAGGAAGAGGAGCGAGGCGCCCACGGCCACCGTGACGCTGAGCTCGGTGGAGTAGTCTCGGGAGTCCCCGGGAAAGCGGTCGTAGGCGCGGGGGCCCGGCTCGGGCTCGGGCTCAGGCGGCAGCGTGGCCGGCGGTGGGGGGCGGCGCGTGCCTGGGGCGCCGGGGGGTGGGCGCGGCGGCCAGCGTGTGGCATAGGGGGGCAGGCGCGTGGTGGTGGTGAAGAGCTCCGTGTGCAGGTTGTGCAGGTGCGGCACGAGCTCCAGCCAGAAGGCCACCTTGTTGGCGCGGTAGTTGTCGCGCACGCGCGGCTTCAGGCCGATGTGCAGGTACTGCTTCTCCTTGCTGTTGAACTTGCTCCACACCACCTCCTCGAAGCGGTTGGGCTTGGTGTGGATGAACTTGGTGTCCTGCGGCACCGGCTGGTTGGGGTCGCTGCGGGCACAGGAGGGCGGGGCGAAGGAGGAGTGAGGGGGAGGCCCGGGCGCACGTGTGGGGGAGGGGTGGGCAGGGTGGGCAGGGAGACCCACAGAGACGCGGGGGGCAAGAGGACCCTGAGACAGAAGGAAAGGCCGAGAAGCAAGAATCGAGAGGCAGAAGAGACAGGGACTGACAGAGACAGGCAGAGGTGAGGTGGGGGGGCAGACGGCAGAGGTGAGGTGGGAGGGGCAGACAGGCAGAGATGAGGACAGAGGAGCAGAGAGAGATGAGGACAGAGCGGCAGAGACATGCAGAGATGAGGGTGGAGGGGCAGAGACAGAGAGGAGGTTGGAGGGGCAGAGACAGAGAGGAGGGGGGGGGGGCGGAGGCGGGCAGAGATGAAGACAGAGGGGCAGAGACGGGCAGGGAGCTAGCTGGCGACTGAATCTCAGAATCTGAGACTGAGGGAGAGAGACACAGTTAGGAACGGAGAGACAGAGGCAGGGGACTGCCAGCCAAGGTGAGAGCAGCAAGCAAAAAGCTTGAATCAGTGGATTCAAAGAGAGAGAGATGTAAATAGTGACAGACACAAACTCTCACACAGAGACGCAAGCCAGGGCATCAGAAAGAAAACAGAATGCCCGGAGAGAGGGAGGAAGAGGCCCGGAGAGACAGACCCGGAGCCGAAGCCAGCAAGGAAGCCCAGGCAATGATGGAGGAATGACCGAATGCGGAGTGGGGGGCAGGGCGCTAAGGATGGCAGGGGTGTGTGCCCGCGCCTTGGCCTGCAGGGGGCCCCCCCAGCCCCACTGGCCCTCACCCAGTCTTGGCGAAGTTGGTCCAGTAGGTCATGACCACAGCGCTGAGCATGACATCATTCTTGGAGAAGTTGCAGGGGAAGAGGTCGGTGGCACCCACCATGGGCACGCCAAAGACGTAGGGCAGCTCGTCCCCGTGCGCTGCGTCTGCCCACTCGGGCCGGCCCTCGGCCTGGCAGTGGTGGTAGAAGGTATAAAAGTAGACAGGGGACTGGTAGTCAGCGTGTAGCTTGGCGGTGGCTACAGCCGGTGCCACCCACTGGTGGTCTGTAAAGAGCGCCAGCAGGGTCTTTCTCCGCATCTCGCCATTGTCCCTGTCGGCCCAGTCCGTGTACATGAACTTGATGGTCTCCCGAAGCACATCCTTGCCCTCCGGGTAGCCGTACAGGTTGTCCACAAAGTTGGAGACGGTGAAGTCAAAGGCGCTGGCGGACACGCCGTCCTCGCTCTCCGCGGAGTCCTCTACGAACTTGAGGCCCTCTCCTTGGTTGACGCCAATGAGCATGTCGTAGTTGAGGAACTCCCCCTGCTGCATGAGGATCTCAGGGTCATCGGGGACGACGTCACCGTCCACCACGGGCCCAAAGGCGATGTGGTAGCTGGGGAGAAGCGGTCAGGGTCTCGTCACCTTCTCCCTGGCCTCCTCTCAGCTCCTAGCCTGCCGGGCCCTTCTTTCTGCCCCGGGTGAAATCTCCTGAGTCCTTTGGGGCACGTGGCCTCTTGGGGAGTCTTCCCTGATGCGCCTCGTGGCCCCTCATGCACCCTCGCTCTGTTTGGGCGCCTGCACTTGGGGCGGGCTCCCGAGGGAAGGAGGCTGGGCTGGCAGAGGGGCCTGAAGCCGATCGGAACGCCCGCAGGCACCTCTCACCCTCAACGTCCTGGGAACTGGCAAGGAAAGTGGAGGCCCAGCCCTGCCCGCTCCCACCCCCATACCGGGCGGGCTGCACATCCTGGTCCACCAGCTCCCGCGAGGGCTTCCGGCGCAGGCACTCCACGGCCTCCGCACTGTCCTCCCGGTCGCAGCCCACTTTGGCCGCCAGCAGCCGCGTGTACTTGAGCGGCTGGTAGTTGACCGACCAGCTGGAGATGGCCGTGCCGCTCTGGGCGATGGCCTTCTGGAACAACCCTGGCAGGACAGGGCGGGCTTCAGGCTGGGCTGCCTCTGCCGAGGGCGGGAAGGGGGAACCTGGTGGGGTGGGCGTGTGGGAATGGGGATGGGAAGGGCAGGCCACAGTGGTGGGGGTGTGTGTGCGTACCTTCTGAATGGTGAGAGAGGATCAGAAGGTTGACACAGGAGGCCCCTGCCCCTGATCCGAAGATGGTGATGCGCTCAGGGTCACCCCCAAAGTGGGCGATGTTCTCACTGAGCCAGCGCAGGGCCTGGATCTGGTCCAGGAGTCCATAGTTGCCTTTGGCTGCCTGGTCCCCGGTGCTGAGAAAGCCTGGAAGCACAGGAGGAAAGGGGCTTCCTGGGGGTGTCAGAGCACCCTCACCCCCCTTCTGGGCAGCTCTGTCCAGCCCAGAAGCCATTCTTCTTCCACCCGGTCTAGAGGAACACTGCCCCCTGCCCCACCCAGACTCCAGGCCCTCGAGTGGCTGCCCGCCCTCACCGAGCACCCCAAGCCGGTAGTTGAGCGTGGCTACAATGACGTTGCCGTAGGCGGCCAGGACGGAGCCGTCGAACATGTTCCCGGTCCCCTCCATGTAGGAGCCACCGTGCAGAAACAGCATCACCGGCTTCTTCCCGGAGTCCCGGATATCTGTGTGGGGAGGGGGCGGGCGGTGGTGGGCCAGGGTTGGGGGACAAGAATACAGTCAGACCAGCCCCAGCACCGCCCAGCTCCTGGGCCAGCAGAGGACCAGCCCGGAGCTCAGGGGACATGTCTCTCCCGTCCCTGCGGGGGGGCAAGACCGGATTCCCCTCCCTCCCTCCCCAGGAGCCCTGGCCAAAGGTCCCACCCCACCTCCTGCCAGCCTGCCCCACGGCACTCCTCCAAATGCCAGACAGACCTTCCAAGAAGCCTAAGAGGTGGGGGGCGACCCTCCCCAGGGCATCTGCTGGATGCAGGGGACCCCCTCCCCACACACACACAGCAAATCTCCTTCCTGCTCGGAGGAAGAGCAAAAACTCCCGAGGCTGACTCTAGCGCTAGAGATGCTGGAAGGGTCCGGGCGGTTCCTCGGACTCAGACCTTGGGTCTCAGGTCCACGTGGCAGCCCGGTCTGTGGGTGAGGGGTGCCAGCCTAGGGTCCCTGGGGGCCTGGTCTCCTCCCCGCCCTAATTCCTTTCTAGGTCACCTCCCCAGTTACCATGGCAACCCCCAGCCTAATTACTGTGGCAGGAGGAGGCAGGGTGGGAAAAAGCCTGCTTGATAAAGCCAGGGTACAGCTCTTTAGTCCCAGGCCCGCCCCCCCCCCCCAACACTGGCCTGACCCTGGCTTCTGCACTGGACGCCCCTCTTGCCCTGTCCCCAAAGGATCCCATGAATCACTGGGCTGAGGCATGACGGATTCCAGAAGAGGGGGGAGTCTGGGAGGGCTTGCCATGGCCCCCAAGGCAATACCAAGTACCCTTCTTAGCAGCCCCCCATGATTCCACCACGGCGCCCGGCTGGGGTCCCCCATGGCCCAGAGGCCCTCCTCTCTCGCGACACTCGCAATCCCTGACTAGCCTGGGCCTCCAAGTCCCCAGCGGCTCTGCTCGCCTCCATCCTCCCGCTAGAAACTTTCTCCTGCCAGAAGGTGAGCCCACAGGACACAGAGAGGTTCCCCCCACCCCTGCAGACAGCTTGTGGCCTCCAGTCTCTTAAGACCTCTGCCACCTCCCTCCACCTGGTGGGCTCTACCCTCTCCGTGTCCTCCCCAAACCCTGCTCTTGCCCTCCTTCTGGAACCTTCGGTGGCCTTCCAGCTAGACTCAGGCGGGAGCCTCCTCCCTGCAAGGCCCTCTCTCTTCAAGTCCTCAGTTACCCACCTCCTCCCCACCCTGCACCTCCACTCCCAGTGTGGGGGTCGGAGGGGGTCGGAAAGGGAAGGAGCAGGGAGGGGGGGCTGGGGCAACAAGAAATTCAAAACCAACAACAAAAAAACAGGATCAAGAAAGAAGAAAGAAAGAAAAAAACAACAACAACCAAAAAGCGAGAAGCTCTCGGGGGCGGGGGGGCAGATTCAACAAGAAAAGAAAAAAAAACCAAAACCAAAAAACCAAAACCAAAAACCAAAAAGATCCTTTTTTTTTTGAAAAAAAGAAAAAAAGAAAAAAGTTCTTTGCATTTTTTTTCAAAATTTTGTGGTGAAACTTCAAGATATTGGGCCCTGTTTTCAAAAATTTCCAGATTCTTTAATGCGCTTCAAATGTTTGCATTTTCTGCATCTGACAGGCTTTTGGAAATTTTAGGTTTGTTTCTGACATTTCAATGGTGCCATCAATTTGCCAACTTAAATTGTTTTTTTTTTAATGTAGTTTTACTCGAAATTAAAGTTGGTTTTGTTTTGTTTTGTTTTTTCAAATGTTACATGTCGCAAGTTTCCAAACAGTCCAAATTGCTGCTGAACTCTAAATGTTTTATCCAATTCCTTGGTGGTTTTTTTTGTTTTGTTTTTTGTTTTTCCCCCTCTGACATTCCAATTTCTTTTTTCACTTAAATTTTGGCCGTGTTTGGCTTTGCTTGCAGGTTCACTAGTGGGTCCAACATTGTTCAAATTTCGTTTGAAGTTTTCGTAATTCTTTTTTCCAATTATTACAAATTTTTCTTTTCTTTTCTTTTTCGTTTTTAGTTGGGAGAAACGACTTGGCGGGGGGGCCTTGAGGGCCGCGGGGGTGGGAGGGGCATTTAGTTAGGGGCGGGGCCTTGAGCGTCCTCTAATCAGCAACCACATGCAGCAGCGGGGTTTTTAAATCTACCTGTGTCTGGCGGATTGAGCGTCGCCTCGTCACGTTTTTTTGTGAGCGGACCTAAGACCGGGAACACAAAACAGAGAAAAAAGGACAATTTTGTGGGGAAAGATGGGGGTCGGGGGGAGGTGGTGGATGGGGAGGGGAGGACAGAAAGCAGAAAAGGGGAGGGTGGAGGGCAGAAAAAATAAGCCAAAAAAGCAAAATTCGTTTGCAAGAAAAAGAAACCAAGAAAAGAGAAAAACGTTTTCTACAACCCATATTTGTTTCCCCTCCCCGGAAAAAGTCATGCCCCAAAGAAAAGGCTGGGTTTGGGGGGTGGGGTGGGCTGCCTGAGTGGGCTGAGGCCTGTTTTAAGACATAGAGACTTGGCTTGGAGACGTGTTTGCTAATTGCTGGAAACGAAATGGTGTTAGAGGTGGGGGTGGGGTGGGGAGGGGAGGCCCGCCCCAAGCCCCAAGCCCCAAGCCCCAAGCCCCAAACCCCAATCCCCAAGCCGGGGAGGCCACGGCCAGCTGTGCCACCAGCTGTGCCACCAGCGCCTCCACTCATGCCTGGCCCTCTCCGGGGCCAGCCCAGCACCTGCCTGCTCCCGCAGGCTGCGAGGGAGGGGCGGCAGCAGAAAGGGCCCATCTGGAAGATCTGGAAGGCAGAGCGTAGGGTGGGACTGGGGGCCACCCGCCCCTGCAGCTCACAGCCCTTCAAGCCCTGGGCTCCCCACTGGAGTGCTGGGGCCAGGTCAGCAAGGGCCGCCTGTCCGCCTGCGCAGCCTCTCACCTGGCCAGCATTCCTCTCCCATCCTCACTCGGGGACCTGGCTTCTCACCCCACCTCCCCGATGTGGGGCAAAGCAGGGAAAGGGGTCATCAGGTCTTGCCCTCCTCTCCACCTCTTCCCTCTGCACCCCCCAACCCCACCACTCACCCAGGCCTATTCTCCCCGCACCGAGAACGGTCAACTCCCCACCGGGGACATGAGCACCTCCTGTCCCCCAGCCCACCCAGCCCCCGGCCCAACACTGCTCTAATGCCAGAAAGCCCCCCTCCCCAATTTGGGGTTCAGTCCACAAATAGGGAACAGGAAACACAGCGCCCTAAGCCACCCTGACATATAAGGGGCCAGGAGGTGCTGGCAGGTATGAAGTGTGCCCCTGGTCACGGAAAGACCCCAGGCAGGGCTCAGAGTTTGGTCCCAGGCTCCTTGCAGAAGGGGGAATCGGTCAGGGCGAAAAGCTGGAAGCCAGAAAGCAGAGGGGGTTCCCCTCACTGATTGGCTTCTCCTCATTGGCATGGGGAGGGATGGGTCATCGAGGTCCAGGCCAGCCTCTGGAAGGCTTCTCCCAACTGGTGATGAGGGCCCCATAGGGACCCATTAGGATTGGGGTCTGTTCTCTACAACAGGATGGGGATGGGGATGAAGTCAGCAGGGCACGTGTGAGCATGAGATTAATGTGTGAGTGTGTGTGTGTGCTCATGCCTGAGTCAACCTCTTCCTTGCAGAGCTGGTGTGAAGATTCAGTGAGATCACCTGCATGTGTCAGGCCCCAGGCAGGTCTGTGATAAGCGATGGTTAAAAATACAGAAGGTGGGGGCTGCCGGGGTGGCTCAGTGGGTTAAAGCCTCTGCCTTCGGCTCAGGTCATGATCCCAGGGTCCTGGGATCAAGCCCCGCATCCGGCTCTCTGTTCAGCAGGGAGCCTGCTTCCTCCTCTCTCTCTGCCCGCCTCTCTGCCTACTTGTGATCTCTGTCTGTCAAATAAATAAATAAAACCTTAAAAAAAAATACAGAAGGTGTGGGCATAGGTGCTGTGGGGGCAGGGTGGACATTGTGTCTGGAGGTGCTGGGCTGGACAGCTCATTGGTGGGAAGTCTGGGCTGGATGGTCCATGTGAGGGGCGAGGGGATAGCCCACGGAGGGTGACACCAGCGTGGATAGCCTACGAGGAGCCAGGAGCCCGGGGGAGAGCCCACGAGTGGAAAGCACGGATATGGACAGGCTGTGCAGAGGTCCTAGGGCAAATGATTCAGAGGCCATTGTGGAGGGCAGGCTGCCGGGGCAGGGGGCCCACGAGAGGGCAGGGGGATGTGGAGTGGATGGCTCTCCCGTGGAGGGTGTGACGGTGTTGGGGAGGGCGTCTGGAGTGTACTGGGGTGAAGAGTGGATCAGGGTGCCTGGAATGGGGACAGGGTTGGAGCAGGGGATCCTTGCGTGCGTTGCGGGCCTGGGTTGCGAGGCATGGTTACCATGGGAGGGGTGGGACTGGGTTAGGGTGCACTGCTGATAGGGGGTGGATGGCGATACCCGAGCAGCTGGGAGTGAGGTGTTCGAGTGCTCGATCTGCGGGGAGGGTATAAGCTTGCTGGGCGTGCTGTCCCAGCCCGAGCTGGGACACAGGGGGTCTCTAGGCAGAGCTGGTGTAAGCGATGCTTGGGAAGTGTTGAGGGCTTTGGGGGCTGTGGTGTGAGTGGCCACATAGAAGGTTACTAGGGCCAAGGTCTCTGTAGGGGTGTTACTAGGACACATGACCTGTATCCAGGGATACTGGCGAGCACGGGTCTAAGCGGGCAATAGGTCCATAGCTTCCGAGAGGCGCTGGGGTGTGTGCTACGTGCGGGCACTGGGCATCTGGCTATGTGGGCGTTGGAGCACGTGGTCAGTGTGCAGGCTGGTGGGGTTCCTGACCCCGCGTGCTGACGAGTTGTGGTTCCCGGGGTATCGTGGTATGTGAGCACCTGATGTGCGGGTAGTGGGGGCATACGGTGTCCGTACAGGGGTTCCTGGGTACCAGGCCTGTGTATACATACAGTTGGCAGAAAACGGCCTGCGGGGGATGCTGTAGGAGTGGGGGGTCCCTGTGGTGGTGCTGGGGTGTTCTGGAGTAGTGATACAGAGAGTCAGAAGGATAACATGGGGCTGTTCATGAGGCTGGCCTTGGGGCAGGCTGAAGTTGGGCTGAGCACCTCAGCAGGAGACAGGCAGGTACTGTGAGATATACTCCCGGGGCTGAAGGTTGGCTGGTGGACGACCTTCCAGGATGTTGTGCTGGGGGCTGGGAGCACTGCGGGGGCAAGGGGTGAACCGGACAGCTCCTTCCCCAGCAGAGCCGGTCTGCTGGAGTGGGGGGAGCCTGGAGGGAAAGATGTTCTCATGAGGATGGGTGGGCTGTGCTGTGAATGAGGGGGTGTGTGTAGGGATCAGGGGACAGGGCTTTGGAAGGAAAGGGCACTAAGCTCGGGCTGGTGCTGGGCGTGCAATGGTGCAACACACAGAAGGGTGCCTGTGCACCCGGGGAGGAAGAAGGAGACTTCTCTGTTGTCTCTGAGCTGTAGAAGGATCCAAAGCGGGTACTGCTCAGGGACAAGCCCAGGCCTGGGGTGGGAGGTGGGGCAGTGGCCGGAGTGGGCGTCTAGGCAGGGCGAGATGCTTCCAATGCCCGCTCCCCGTCGGGAGCCAGTGTGTGTGTGCCTTGGCGGGGATGGGGTCTTTAAGCCCAGCTTGGTACCTGCGGCTTGCCCTGCGGGCACCAGGACCTTCCGGGGTGGCTGTGTGCGGGAGCGTTCCTGCGACTGCCTGGCAGGCCCCCGTCCCACCCTGGGAGGGCCCGCGCAGCCTGCAGGGACCCGCGGCCTCTTGCGGGGGCCCGGCCGGTGGCGCGGGGTGGAGGGTCTGCGTGCACGCGTGTGGGCTGCGTCCGCGGGGTGCCCAGCCTGGTGCCCGCGCCCTTACCGTCCTCGGTGGGCACGTAGAGGTTGAGGTACAGGCAGTCTTCGCTCTGGTTCTGCACATAGGTGGCGGCCGCCTCCAAGTTGTCGGTGAACCACACGGGCAGCATGATGGCGGGAAGCGCCCCGTGCAGGTTCTGCGGGCAGGCGGGCGGCAGGGCGGTGGCGTTGCGCACGCCGGGCCAGGAGGCGGGGGCCTCGGGCGGCTGGAAGCGGCGGGCGCCCAGGGGTGGCGTGGCGTAGGGAACGCCCAAAAACTGCACGACGGGGCCCAGGATCTCGTTGTTGAGCTCGCGCCGCACACCGCGCACTCGCCCATAGGCCGTGTTCACCACTGGGAAGCGTTCCTCCCCGAGGCTGCTGAGGCCCAAGCCCGGGCCCCCCGGGGAGCCGCCGCTGGGACCCCCTCCCCCCCCGTTGAGCCCCTGCCAGCCCCACCAGACACAGCGCCAGGAGCCACATGCTGATCGGGGGACCCCCCCTCCCTCCCCGGGACCCCCCCCCTCGGAGAGAGAGAGAAGGGGGGGGAGAGGGAGGGAGGCCCCCCCCTCGCCCCAGTAGGGAGGAGGGGGCGGGGGAAAGGAGGGAGGAGGGGGGTGGGGAGGGACCTGGGTTAGACTGGACAGAGAAAGGGTCTGTTCCTCTCCATGGAGGGGGCAAGGGGTGGGGAAGGGGAAGGAAGTGGGAGAAGGTGAAGGCAGGCCCGGACTGTAGGGTGGAGGGACGGGGTGTGCAAGAGACAGACAGACAGACAGAAAAATACAGAGAAGTGGAAGAAGGGAAGGGAAATCGGACAGGGCAGACAGAAGGGAACAGGGAAACAAGAGACAAGTGGTTAGTGACTTGGAATTCAGACCAAGTTGCCCCCCCTTCTGCCACCCTCAGGCCCTCTGCCACCCCCACCAACCCCAGCAACCCCCATCCCCAAAGCAGGGACCCAGATAGAAAAGTCTAAGGCTGGGGATAGGGTGGGGACGTGATAGACGCCCAGGACAGAACCAGAGGAGGAGGACAGCCAGCTCCCTGGACCCCGCACACCCCCCCCCCACCGCCCTTCCAGCTGCTTTATCCCTCCCAGGCAGGCTCTCCTTGGGGACTCAGGAGTCCCAGTTCCCACCTCCCTGGGAGGGATGAGATAGACAAGGAAGAGAAAATAAAAATACCAAGTCATTAATTAGCAGGAAGTAGCGGGTTTGTTTATACGTGTTAATTACTCCTGAGCTGTAATTTCAGGGCACTGAACTCCCATTCCAGGCCATTCTTGGGGCCACACAGTCCAAGCACCTTTTCCTCCCTTCAACAGCCCATTCCCTAAGGATCTGTGCACCAGAGGAGGGGACGGATCCCTTCCCCCCCGCCCCGCCCCCGTCTTCCTCGTTTATTCCATCAGAAGTTAAGGTGCCTTGAGGCAGGGGCTGGAGCAAGGAGGGGATGCTGCTGGAGGGGCAAATCCAGGGACAGATGCGTGATCCTGCAGCCGGTTGCTGGGCGACGGGATGCTGCCCCGCAATGTTACCTCGGCAACCGGCTGCAGCTTTAACCCTGGAGGGGGTCTGGAGGAAGAGGGGAAGGAGCTGGCTTGGTTATGGGGTCCATTCAGGGCAGGAGGGCAGAGGCGTGAGTGAGAATACTAGAGTTTTCCCCAACCTTAGCGGAGAGAAAGAAGTGTATATGTTGAGGGGAGCGGGAGATTGGGGCATAGAGAACCCTAAAGACCCGCCTCTTGCCCCTTGTCGGCCAATCAGAGCCTAGCCCTAGTGACCAGGCCTCTGGCTGGGGAGAAGGGGTGCTGAGGTGGGTTTGGAGGGCATCAGATGCAGCCACCGACACCCCCCCCACCGGACAGTCTCGAACAGCCCTGGAGCCCAGATGCCTTTTCCACACATGGCGTTCTGACCCACGTCCTGGGGGCAAACCTCGGCTTTCTAGTCCCATCCCAGCTCTTTACCTCCCCTTCCCCTTGCCAGCCCCCCCCC